CAGCACTGCTTGATACAACTCAGACACAAGAGGGCCCAGCGTCATCTCCGCACTTGTGCTTCACTACAGAGAAAGCAGTTACTTTTAGTTGACCTTGCTCAGCTTGCAGCATAGTCCTCACCAGCCTTCTCAGGAACCATTCTCTCCCTGCCCTCCTGGGTGCCTTGAGGAGCTCCCGACTCCACCCTCATGGCCTTTACAATAGCACTCTAGGCTGGGGAAACCGGTGGGACCACTTTTCGATGGTGTACCTGGCAGGAACTTAAACTTTCAGGGACTTCTTTGGAATAGGCCCGGCATATCCAAGGAGCAGAGGAACACTTGCTGGCTGGGAGAGGGAGAGGGCAGTGGTGGTGGAAGAGAAGTGGAATGGAAAGGTAGCCTGAGTCTTTGACTATTGTGAAAGGCCTTATGTACAGAGTAAAGAAATTAGATTATTCCCCCTCCCTATAAGCAATGAAAAGCCTTCAAAAGTCATGCCTTTTGCTTTACTGTTACAAATACTTTCTCAACAGTTAGGAAACACTGCCATCATGTGGCTGCCAGCTGATGCCTGCTCCAACTTGTCAGGTGCTGGATTTTTATTGGTATCGTTTAATAATTAAACCAAGGAAGAAATCTCTTGATGAAAACATGTAAAGATATGCTAACCTGTGAAAAAAGGATTGTTATAATGTTTTTCAAGAAATCAACATCTGGGTTCAATTCTCCAATTCTTACTTTGCTTTTAAAATTCTAGCCTAAGTCTTTAGAACTGATGGCAAAGATTTCTTCAGTTCCCAAGCCCCCACCCCTCCAAAGGTTCTGTCATTTCCACGTCACTGTCTCCAGGCCATTTCCATCAACCGTGGCAGATTCTATTTCGCTCCTAGGTCTGTTCTTTGTATGGTCCTGCTGTCGGACAAACCTAAATGACTTTTCTTTTTTAGCTGAGTGATTTGGGGCAAATCCCTACCTTCTGTGTGCCTCAGTTTCTCCGTGTGTAAAGTGGAGATGGTACCTTCTCATGGGGTAGTGTAAGGGTGAGACGGTAGGAGGGCCAGGCACATCACAAGTCTTCACAAAGAGCCCTCTTTCCCCTCTCCTTCAGGACATGCTACTGAGCAAGGAGCAGGTATTCCCTGAGGTCAGGGATTTCATGATACCCGAAGTTTACCTGAGCCACAGCAAGGCTCGCGAGAACAGCACTACTTATCCTGTTGGTTTGGGGGACCACCTCTATTTCTGCGCGTGGGCAGTACAGCATGGATTTGGTAAGGATTGCACTCAGTGAGTCTCCTCTGTGCAGAGCTGGTAGCAGGTGCGTGGGCGTGAGACAGGCGGGGCCGGATTCATTCTGTACCAAGGGCTGTGTGTGGATAATTCAATCCCCCTGGGACTTAAGAGTCTGGCCTCACCCGCAGCTCCAAGGATTGGCTGTCTCAACTCGCCCCCGCCCTCCGCACCCCGTCCCAGGTGGCTCAGGTCCCTGTGGTGATCTCTGTTTACAGAGAGAGCCAACTTGGGTTCCAGCTCCGCATTCGCTGCCCTTTGGGGCTCAGCCCGCCGAAGCGGGGAGAAAACCAGGAGTCCTTTCCCTTTCCCCACCGCCCAAAGAGGTCGGGTAAGGGGGAAGAGTGAGTCTGGGAGGGGGGGATCCCCAGCCTCGGGGATCCAGCTGTTCCCTATCCCTGTACCTCGCGCACACCCAGGAGTCTATCCCTAGACCTGGTTCCCGCGCCCTCCGCCCGCGCCCACGCTCGGGGGTGACCAGCCTACTCTGGGCGAGAGCCTAAAGCTGGGTCTCAGAGATGCCAGCTCCCAAGCAGAGGCTTATGCGTGGAGACTTCACTCAGGGGTGTCTGTTCACTCCAGCAGACGATGTCTCCGAAGACAGCCGGACCCCCTGACGGGGGCTGGGGCTGGGTGGTGGCCGCTGCAGCCTTCTCAGTGAACGGGCTTTCCTACGGGGTCCTACGTTCTCTGGGCCTTGCCCTTCCAGACCTCGCGGAACACTTCGACAGAAGCGCCCAGGACACTGCGTGGGTCAGCGCCCTGGCCTTGGCCGTGCAGCAGGCAGCCAGTGAGGGGGGTCCCCACTGTGGGAGGCGGGAACACGGTACATGGGCCACGAGTACAGTGATGGGAGACCCACCTGACTTCCAGACAACCTGAAGATGGAACTACATTCTAGAAAAGAGTGGGTCTTGGGGGATCAAGGGGAGGGACTAGTAGGCCAGGGGAGGAGCTTTAGGCTAGGTAGCAGCCAATGAGAAGAGTTTCGGGACCCAGAAGCGGGTCTTCGTTAACTCCACCACCTTCTAGGCCCAGTGGGCAGCGCCCTGAGCACACGCTGCGGGGCGCGCCCAGTGGTGATGGTTGGAGGCGTCCTCACTTCGCTGGGCTTCATCTTCTCAGCTTTCGCCCGAAGCCTGATGCACCTGTACCTCGGCCTGGGCCTTCTCGCTGGTGAGAAGAGTGGGATGCCTCAGGCCTTCTGGACCGATGTACAGCTAAGAGTCTGCTGGAGGATGGGGGCCGAACGGGCGGGGTCCTCTGTGGGAAGCAGGGCTGGGAGTCCCGCGGTGGGCATCCCTACCTGGTCCCTGCCCTCATCCTGTCCTCTCCATTCGCAGGCTCCGGCTGGGCCCTGGCCTTCGCCCCTGCCCTCGGCACCCTCTCCCGTTACTTCTCCCGCCGTCGGGTCTTAGCGGTGGGGCTGGCACTCACGGGCAACGGGGCTTCTTCGCTGCTCCTGGCACCCGCCTTGCAGTTCCTTCTTGATACTTTCGGCTGGCGGGGCGCCCTGCTGCTCCTGGGCGCAGTCACCCTCCACCTCACTCCCTGTGGAGCCCTTCTGCGCCCCCTGACTCTGCCCGGTGACCCCCCAGTCCCACCTCGTGGTCCTCTAGCTGCCCTAGGCCTGGGTCTCTTCAAGCACCGGGCCTTTGCAGTCTTTGCTCTGGGGACAGCACTGATTGGGGGCGGGTACTTCATCCCCTATGTACACTTAGCTCCCCACGCTTTAGACCGGGGCCTAGGGGGCTACGGGGCAGCGTGGGTGGTAGCTGTGGCTGCAGTCGGGGATGCAGGCGCCCGGCTGGTCTGTGGGTGGCTGGCAGACCAGGGCTGGGTGCCCCTTCCACGCCTGCTGGCGGTGTTTGGGGCTCTGACAGGGCTGGGGCTGATGGCAGTGGGACTGGTGCCCTCTCTTGGGAGCGAAGACAGCTGGGGAGCCCCGCTGATGGCAGCAGCTGGGGCCTATGGGCTGAGTGCTGGCAGTTACGCCCCATTGGTTTTTGGAGTGCTCCCGGGGCTGGTAGGCATTGGAGGTGTGGTGCAGGCCACAGGGCTGGTGATGATGCTGATGAGCCTGGGGGGACTTCTGGGCCCCCCTCTGTCAGGTAAGGGCTTGAGCCAGCAGGTCTGTTCAGAACCATTCTCTGTCCCTGGGTTTCCAGGACTAATTTCTTTACCTTTCCTCTCAGGCTTCTTAAGGGATGAGACAGGAGACTTCACCGCCTCTTTCCTGATGTGCAGTTCTTTCATCCTCTCTGGCAGCTTCATCTACATGGCCCTCCCCAGAGCGGTCCCCTCCTGCCATCCGGCTTCACCTCCGCCTACCCCTCCCCCTGAGAGCCGGGAGCTGCTCCCTGTACCCAAGGTTGTCCTGCTCTCCCCAGGAGGCCCTCACTCCACTGTGGAGGCCACATGTTGATTGTGATCACATTTGAGCTTCTCCCTCCAATAAAGAATTTTTATCTGATGCTCCCAATATTCTATTTAAGGGGCCGGGGAGATGGCTCAGTGGAATAAGTCCTTCTCTGGCAAGAGCAGGGGCCTGAGTTCAATCCCCAGTTCTACAAAAAAAAAAAAAAATTCTATTTAAGATACCCCAAAAGGCTGATTGAAAGGATTAAGACTCCAGGAGCCCTGATAGTGGGGAAGAATGTGTATCTGCTCAGACAATCTATTTCCCTTTGGCCATGCCCTTGTTGTACTGGAAGTCTTTGAGGAGTGGTTTGCTGGTCATTTTGGGGGTATCAGGGGAAGAGATGCTCGTATCTAGACCACACAAACTCTTTCCTACATTTCAATTTCCCTCTGTTGACCTGAGGAAGACATACAAGAACTTAGGGTCTTGGGGGCTGGGGAGATGGCTTAGTGGAATAAGCGCTTCCCTGTCAAGTGCAAGGGCCTGAGTTCAATTCCAGGTTCCGCAAAAATAAATAAATAAATAAAAACAACTTAGGGTCAAACTTCAGCTCTTAGCTCCCACTCTACATACACCCTACCACCTTGTAATTCTCTTGATTTCTTTTCTGAGTCACTAGAATAGTAGAGAAGAGAGAGGTAACGATTAGAGGAAAGAAGTCTCAGTTGCTAGAGTGCCTGGACACCTCTCACCCAGTCATTGACTCCATCAGCACATAGGCCCCAGATCTTTCTGAGGTCATGATTACTGTCATTTCCTTATTTAGTTTTTTTTTAAATTTATTTTATTTATTTATTTATATGTGTGTGTGTGTGTGTGTGTGTGGGCCCAGCTCAGCCCACCAGGGGGCGGGGCTGGCTGGCATGTGGTGCTGGGGGACTGAACCGTGGTCCCTGTGCTTTGCTAAGCTTGTTCTAAGTAGGTGCTTTAGACCATTGAGCCATCTCACCAGCCCCCTCCTTATTTAGTTTTATCCCAAAAGAATAATCTTGTTTCCCAAACATCTTTCTTCAGAGAGGAAATTTTAGAGCAACACTAGGGACCACATGTAAAACAAAGTCTCTTTGATTCTCACAGTTGATTCACAGCTCAATGAGGCAGGACCTTTAGGATCCTTCAGAAAAGGTTGGGAGAGTGAAGGAAGAAAAAAAGTGAGGCCTCAACAAAACAGAGGGTTGGCACACATATCACAGCCCCAGGCCTGCTCTGGGGAAGGTGGATCAAGAATCTTTTTTTTTTTTTTTTTTTTTTTTGGCAGAACCGGGGATTGAACTCAGACCCTTGCGCTTGCTAGTGGATCAAGAATCTTAAGGCACTTTGTTTCTGTGGATGCCTTAATGGGACAGGAAAAGATCTGGAGCTGTCAGTTTCTGGCTTTAGGGAGACTCAATGCCTCTTGGTGTTTATTCCTCTTCCAATCCCTCTTCCTTGTGCAGGGAGACTTTGGTGTCCAGGACCTCAATTACAAGTTCCTGGGGCCTGGAAGTAGGAGCTGAGAAACAGGAGAAGAAGTGGGGCAACGTAATAAGAACTCCACTTCCTACAAGCAGGAAGGCTCCAGCCACCACAAAAGAAGCCGTGTAGTTGCCTGTCACATCCCGGAGGTACCCTAAGTCCAAAAGAAAAAAAGAACATACATGCATAAGTGATTTGTTCACCTGTCCAGGTGGCTCACACCCACTCTGGGTGTAGGGAACTGCCCCTACCTTGCTCTTAGAGGAGTTAGAACTCCCAACCCAGGTAAGGTTGGATAAATGTGAGAACTTGTTTCCCTTGGGGCCCCAAAAGGCAATTCAGCCCACCTTCATGCCTTTAGAAAGGTCTTTCAAACCAGCCCCAGATGCCAGTATGGATTTGGTAATCCAGGTTAAGTGAGGCATACCTGTGGGTTTCTTTCCAGCAACTGGGGCCCATCTATGCCTTCAGTTAATAGTTAAGGGAAAGATGTTAAAGGTCTAGTATCTTGAGCCTGGAGAACTTTAACCAAATGGCTAAGACACCTGGGCAGGAGCCCAGTAGGCCAAAGGAAAGGAAGACACTGGAATGCCATGTTGGGTGAGGTCTAGCCAGGTCCCCTGAAAACCCAGGCTATATGTACACTTCCAGGGGTTCCACTTAGCTCCTCTTTGTCCCTCCACTGAGACTTTCTGAGCTTCAGGTTCTTTGTCCTATGGATCCATTTCAGAGCTGCTATGATTGATCATGTGAGCTGTATGCTGTACCACAGAGGGCACTGTTCACATACACTAAAATGGGAATAGTTCTGTTCCCCAGTTGTGCACAACGGCAGCCCTGGCCCACCTGGAAGCCCCATTCCCCTTACCAGACAGAGGAGCTCCTAGTAGTCCCCCGATGCTTTCTATCATCTGCACCAGTCCCAGGCCACAATAAATCCTTGCAGTCCCCACCAGTTCAGGTAGCACGGAGAAGGCCACTGGGGTCAGGGCCCCCGATGTAAAGCCATAGGCCACAGCCAGAACCACCAAGGCTGTAGGAGCCTGGGCCACAGGGAAAAGGGCTAGTGATACTCCAGTTAGGGTGGTCCAGAGCATCAGGAGTCGTGCCACAGGCCCTGGGACTGCATCTCCCAGCCACCCAGAGGCCACCCGCCCTATAAGGTCAGAAATGGCAGCCACTGAGAGTAGGAAAGCAGCAGGCAGTGGGTCCCAACCCAGGTCCTGGAGATGGGCCACCAGGTGCACATAAGGAATAAAGTAGCCAGTATTGATCAGAGTGAGGGCAACAGTGTAACGGAGGAAGGGGCCATGATGAAGGAGAGAGGTCAGTTGGGCTCTAGGGCCACCCACAGCAGTGTCCTCAGTCAGGGACAGTGGGCGAAGGAGAGCACCACAGGCCACAAGGTGGCAGGAGAGGGCTGACACCAGCAGCAGGGCCCCTCGCCAGGCAAAGTGGTCAAGCAGCCACTGGAAGAGAGGGGCAAATGCAAAAGAGGAGAGGCCCACTCCTGTCAGTGCCAGCCCCATGGCCAAGGATCGACGTCGGGAGAAGTAACGGGACAGGCATGCCAGGGTTGGAGTGAAGGTCAAGGCCCAGCCAGAGCCTGTCAAAGAGGAAGAAATGGGGGTTGGAGGCTTGTAGGGGAAGCTCAGGACATCTAGTAGTCACAACCCTACCAGCAGCAGAATGAAGCCCTTGCTTTGGTTCCAGTTCTGGTGTGACACTTTCTAGCTGGGCGACCTTATATGTTTAACTTACTTTCCCAGCCTCCATCTACTCATTTGCAAATTACAAAGTGTTAATACACTTAATGGGACTGGGGAGACCTAGAGAAGTCTGTAAAGCAATTAAACACAAAACTCTGCAGTTAAATCCCAGCTTTACCATATCTGGTGGTGTAACCTTCCCTTGTCAAGTTGTGTAATCTTTGAAAGGCTTTCTTTGTACATAGGCTAATGATATCTATTGCACAATGACACTACCTAGCATTTTATAGCTACGTATTCTCTTGCACTCCAAGTCCACTAGCCTTGGGCTTGTGTACTCCACACTCATCATTCTTTGGCTTTGCTAATTTTTCACACTCTCTTTATCAATTGAGTCATTGTTAAGAATTATTTCATGGCACGGGTGCTAGCTAAACTTTCCTTCCACTTCTCTTTAAGCCTTTTGGAAGGACAGGGAAAAAGGAAAATCCAGGAGCCAAAGATACAGGCATTTGGTTCTCCTGTCCTTGCCCAGGATCTCACCTGAGAGCAGCCCAATACTCAGGTATAGGTGAGTCAAGGAGGTAGCAAACGAGGCGAGCAGCATTCCCAGCGCAGCCAAGATGCCCCCAGTCATCACCACAGGCCTGGGCCCGAAATTTGTGCTCAGGACACTACCTATTGGACCTGGGGAAGTCAAAGGAGGTTCTTCGAGGCCTCAGGCGCCCTGCCCCAGCATCGTCCCAACCTCTCAGCCTTGCCCATTCCTCCCTCCTCAACTCTCTTTCCAGGGTCTCGGGACACTGGACCAGGGGCAGCACTCACTCCCAAACTGCTGCACCGCGATTCCTATGGAGGCAATCCAAGAAACACGCGCTGCCTGCTCCTCAAACGCCGAGACAAACTCCACGAAGAAGACGCCAAAGGAGCGCAGCACCCCGAACACCAGCGCCGACTGGAAGAATGCTGAGAGCACCACCATCCATCCCCAGCCGCCATCGGGAGGCTCAGCTCTGCCCGCCATCTGGGCAGGAACAGAGCTGCCGCCACTAACTCCCCCTGGGGGAGCTGGGCTGTGGACGCCCCACCTCAGCCCACTCACCCATGCAGCCTGCGGGGCGGCTGGGGGTAGGTGTAGGAGAGGAGGGGTTGGTAGAGAGGAAGGTGCTGGTGAAGCAGCGCCAGCGCCTTCTCCGAAGCAAGGGGAGGAGACTGACCTAGGCGCCTAAGAACCGGGACAGGCCAGCGCCTGCCGGCGACCAGCGAGGAGGCGTGGCCCCGCTGGCATGCCTCGCGGGCCCAGGCAGACCCTAGGGTTCAGCTAAGGAATAGGGAGCGGAAATGGGTTGAGCCACGCCCCTGAAGCGCGCCAGTCTCTGGATGGGTTATCTGTTTTATCTTTGTGAATGTCAGCACCTGGCCTGGCGACCAGACATCCTGTCCGTAGCCAGCCAATGAGGATGCGTACCCACGAGAAGGGGCGGGGCCAGGAATACTGGGCGGGATTTAAAGTACTGTTCAGAAAAAAAGCTGCGAGTGGGGCGCATGCGCAGGGACCTGAGGAGGCCTGCAGCGAAGGGCCCCATGTGATGCAGGCATCTGTGATGACAACGTGGTGGTCGTGGTCGTGTTTTTTGTTGTGGGCCCAGTTTGCCCACTTTTTAGCAGCAAGGCCTGTAGTTAAGGATAGATGGTGGATAAACTGGTTCTGGAAGGACAGAGCACTCAATACTTGCTGAATGAGGGGTCCAGAAATCACCAGGTCTGGGAATGGTTTTGAGATCTTTAAACCAAACACCTGGCTACTAAATCAGCCTCGAAAAATCCTAGATTCCTGGATCCCTGAAAGGCCACGGGGAAACACAAGAAAAATGGGTTGTTGAACTCCTTCATTTCTGTGATTAAAAACACGCTCCTGTCATTTCTGTTCCCACTAACAGGAAATCTACAGGTCATTCAGACCAAAAATAAACTGGAGAAAGGAAGGGCGCCTGTAAGCTCCACCAAGGCTCCACCTCCACCACCACCTAACCCTTGTTCAGTGGGGCTGGAACATTTTTCTCTACCTTCTAATAACAGCCATTTCCTACCACAGCTTCTGATCTCATGATGGGGTAAAGAGACAAACTATGCCCATAGCCACTGGTGCAGTCAGCTCCACCTCTCCAACTAGTACCCAGGCCCCTAACAAGCACTCTCAATCCCTACAGAGACCCTGTGGTCCTAAGAGTTTGATTTCCTGTTCCTTCATTTTAACTCAGGCTCCTGAGGAGGCTGGTTTTAGGCTTGAGTTCATACCCAGACTAGTGTGGAAAGATGCAAACAAAAGGAGGCAGTGTGGTTTAAAAAAACAAAACATGCTGAGCTTTATAATTTTTTGTGTGAGAAAAAAAAAAAAAAAGACTAAAATGCTCTGTCTAGATATATTGTAAGTAGAGTTGAAACAGGCAGATGCAGAAATTGGTCTGGGCATGTTATCAGTGGTTAGGAGTTTAGAATCAGATCACAGTTCCAATCTTGACTTCCTCACTTATTAACTTGGCCAAGGTACTGAAGCTGTCCGTAGGTTTTCCATCTGCAAATTGGGGATAACACTGCCTAATCTTGAGTTGTTTTAGGGTTTCCAGGAATGTTAAATTAGAAAATCCATGCACTAAAATGCTTAGTTTAGGGTATATGTAGCATGGGATAAGTAATGTTAGCTGTTCTTATTTTCAACAGCTACAGTGAGAAGTGAATAAGGTTCTAGTTTAGTTTTTGGGGTTTTTTTTTTGTTTGTTTTTTATTAAGTCTAATCCAGGTCATGGTTTTTTTTTGTTGTTGTTGTTTTTGTTTTTGTTTTTTGGTGGTACCCGGGATTGAACTCAGGACCTTGAGCTTGCCAGGCAAGCACTTATTCCAACTGAGCTATCTCCCCGGCCCCAGGTCATGGGTTTTAAAGGATTAAGAAACATAGGTTGGGGAGATAGCTCAGTGGCTTCAGCACCTGCCTGGCAAATGCAAGATCCTAAGTTTGATCCCCAGTACTGAAAAAAAAAAAAAAAAAAAAGACTGAGAAACACAACCACAATCTGTAATAGACGGAATTTAAAAAGCAATGTTAACTGATTTTTATCATACAGCAGGAATTTAAAGTTTGGAAGGAGATTACATCAGAATTAGTGAGTTCTGCTCATGGGAAAGAATAAAACTGTACCCAGGACACATGTAGGAGATGCACTGGACACTGGACAGGATCCATGATATTAAGTCTGGACTTGGCATGTTGACTCTTAACTGTGCAATCTTCTCATGGCTACTGCCAGACCCTGATGTCTTTATGGGATCCAAGTCCTATCCATCTTCTTTGATGGTGATGGTATACTGTCCCAAAAATTAAGATCCCCAGCACAGTAACATCCATCCCCCAACCTACTAGTAGCTTGCTAGTTTCTCACTGCTGCCTCCACACCTCAGGCAGGAAGTGACCTCAGACCAGCAGGATGCAGGTGGCTCCGGAGAAACTTCATGAAGTCACTGGTTCCTACACAATAAGCCGGAAGGCAAGTGCCGGGAGGGGAGTACACTTAAGAGGTCTGGTGGGATAGGATAGTAAGATGAGCAGAGAATCCAAGATGTTATTCAGGAGGCAAGAAATCTCTTTCCAAGATCCAGATACCTCCTCCCAGGTAAGAATCCAGGACACAGTAGTAGCACAGAAAGCCTTCTTTATTCCAAGATCTAACACTTTCAACCTCAGGCACTTTTCACCTGCCTATCCATTTCTGTTAAACAGAAATCATGGTTCCTTCTTACATTTCTCTTCTGCTTTCCCTTCTTTCTTCAATTCTGCAATGGGGCAGTGGAGATTAAAACACACAAAAAAATATCTTTCTCACTAGTCCCCAAGTGACACTGACTAGTACTGACTTATCTTGAGGAGTTCCACTCCACAAATTAAAAAGTGCTTCTTACACTTCACCCATGTCCTAAAATCAAATAGGTCCCACCCAGGACAAGTGTCAGAACTACCAAGGCTTCAAAGTATTATCTAACATTCCAAACATTCTGTTTCAGCAAAGAGACAACACCCTTCTTAACTTTCAACCTATCTGGTCTGTACCAAAAACTGTAGCCCTCAACCAACTTTTTTTTTTTTAATGTATTTGGTACAGGGTCTCATTATACAGCTTGGACTCATAGTATTTCTCCTGTTTTCAGCCTCCCCAGCACTGGGTTTACACACCTAATCTCAGTGGCCAGCTCAGCATGCCCAGGGTTGGGGTCGACGTAGCACATGGTGCCAGGGATCAAACCCGGGTCCCTAAGCTTACCTAAACAGGTGTTTAGTCCACTGAGCTATCTAGCCAGCCAACTTCTTAATCCTACCTGGCATCTCAGTCAACTGAAAGAGGTGTTTGGCCCATGAGTCAACCAGTCTTTAAGTCTCTTAAATCTATAAGTCCAACAATAATGCAAATCATAATTCAAAACTTCAAATCCAGCTCCATTTTTCTCTTTGTGGAAGGTTCTAATGCATTCACTGGTTCCAGACAGGAATTCAGTGATAGACTGTGTCACTGATCCAGCTTTTTTAAGCTAAGAAAGTTACCAAGCAATGGTGACTTTTAGAGGCAAAAAGTTGTTTCTGGAATCTGGACACTTGCCAGAAAAGGTCCAAAAACAAGGCAGAAGGGGCTTATCACACATAGAGAGAACACCAAGGAATATTCAAACCCAGATGCTTCTGGACTAATGGATTGGTCAAGACTCTTTAGTTGAAATACAGAGTTTCAGGGGCCAGGGAGATGGCTCAGTAGAATAAGTGCTTGCCTGGCAAGCACAAGGGCCTGAGTTCAATCCCCTGTTCCGCTAAAAACAAACAAACAAGAAAACAAACAGAGTTTCACAATTCTCCCTAGATCACAATATTCTTAGACTTGGTGGACTCTGAAAAGATCACAGCATCTCTGATAAGGAATTTCAGACCTCAACTCAACACTTAGGTAACAGATACACATAGTGCAGCCAAACCCAGGTGACCAGGTTAATGGGACAGTTTTGTTTCTGGACCATCTTGTAGGAAAGACTTCAAGCCTCCATTTTGGGAGACTAAAGCAGGAGGATTCTGAGTTCAAGTCCAGTCTGGGCTATGTAATGAGTGCAAGACTAGCCTGGACTACAGGACTGTCTTTAAGAAACAAAACAGCAAATACAAAATCCAGTGCCCACACCTCCATCCTGCAGGAGCCATTCATCACCTCAAATTCAGGCTCACAGTAAAGGTTCCTATAGCTTTTGAAGAGCAAAGAAGAGTCTGTTGGTCGTGGCAAGCCTACGGCACGCATGCCACAGTGGGCCGTTTGCATCACTGAAAGCTCTAAAAGGTTCCCTATCACTGCTCTACATTCAATTCTAGCCTGCTAGAGAATACCAGAGAGGGTTCCTGCCCCAATTCCACAAGTTCCCAGGGCTTGCCCAAGAACACATAAAGGTTCCAGACCTAGAACTGGAGGGGTAGAATACAGAGAACCCCTTTTTTTCCCCCACTTAAACCAACAAGTGAACAAAGAACAATTCTAAAGATAAAAGTTATGATAATACAACATAAAAAAATTCAAGCCAAAGGAGAGCCAAGTGCTAATAATAATCTCTGCCAGCAGAGCTGTGACCTCACCTTCCCTGTTTCAGGTCACTTTTGATCACACTTGTAGAAGAGGGAAGTTGGAAATGCAACAGAATGAAGGCCCTGGTGCCACCCAAAGGCCTCAATAAATTATATTTACAGATAAATCAGATGAAATGAGGTTGTAGGCAGAGAGCTGTTTCCTTAAGGAAACAAGGCCTCCATTCTCTTTCTTCCTCCAACCTCTAGTTAGACAATCTAGATTGTGGGAAAGAGGTTTTGACCAGCAAAACAGAGGCAGATCTAGCCAGAATCTACCACTTCTGCTCTCCTCAGCAAGAACTTACGGTGGCAGTGGTTTCTGACACCAGAGTTGCCTTGCACAACTCCACACCAAGACTGGCAGGGAAGCCAGGCCAGATCTACAGCTTTCCCATCCTCCAGCGAGCAAGTGGGGTCTCGGCCAGTGCTCAGCTAGGGACCGCCAAGGATATGGTAGTGGACCTTGGTGTTGGTAGCAGCTCCGTGTTTCTGGCGTAGATGCAGCCGAAGTTGACTCTTGTGCCGGAAATGCAGGCCACAGGGGTCACACTGTGGGAGGATAGCTAGGTGAGGTTCCTTCTAATCTACAGCTACCTTTTAAGAGTTGAGTGAGGGGGAGTTGCCCAGCTCTCTGATGAAAATTTGGTCTCGGACCTTTACATTCACCCAAATCCTTTGGGTACCAGGAAACTGGGCTTGTCTTATCTAAGAATGGCTTTCCCACTACTTAGCCCTGCTTTAGAAATACTGTATTCAATCCTGAGGTTTAACTACCTCCATCCCATCCCACTCCACACTCTGCCCTATACTCACTGGGACTCTTCAAGCTGCAACCCAGCAGTTAGCAAGCCTGCTCCTCTCAAAGCCCCACACCTAGATGAATGGGAGGTAATTCTAAGTTTGGGCCATGCTAAGTACCCACATGGTAAGGCTTCTCTCCTGTGTGGATTCGAACATGGCTCTTGAGGGTCTGTAAGTGGCGAAAGCGGGTCCCACAGGTAGAACAAGGGTAGGGCTTCTCTCCGGTATGGATCAGCACATGTGCACGCAGGTGTGCCACCTGGGAGGAAAGGAGTCTTCAGACCACACTTCTTGAGGGTCAAAAGCCTTTGTTAGTCCACGCACTCTCTCCATCCCTACCTGTACAAAGCGGGAACCGCAAGTTTCACACTTGTAGGGTTTTTCTCCAGAATGGATGCGGCTGTGTGTTTTCAGGTTAGCTGGCCGGTTAAATCGGGCTCCACAGATGGAGCAATGGTAGGGCTTTTCCCCTGAAAGCAGGGTCAATGACAGATCAAGTCAGGATCTTACTGTAAGATAGCAGTGGAGGGGTCTGGTGAGATGGCTCAGTGGTCTAAAGCACCTACTTAGAACAAGCTAAGCAGTTCAATCCCCCAGCACCACATGCCAGCCAGCCCTGCCCCCTTGTGGGCTGAGCTGGCCACACACACACAAAATCAATCAATCAATCAATCAATCAATCAATCAAAACAAAAATCTGTTAAAAAAAAAAAAAGATAGCAGTGGACACCAAGGCTAAGGCCCTCTCTTCCCCTACCTGTATGCACTGTGCGGTGACTGGCCAGGTTACCCTTGTATCGGAAGGCAGACCGACAGAGCTGACACTTATAGGGCTTGTCCTCCTCCCCAGGAGCAAAGGGGTCCAGCCCTGAAGAACACCCAGCCACAGCCTCACAGTTCTGGCAGCTGAAAAACTCACTTCCTGGGAAGGGTGGGGTGGGAGTTATGAGTAATAATTATAGTTACTTGTTGAGGGAGTCTTAGGTACTGGTGAATCCTCAAATTGTGCAGCAGGTTTTCTTTTTCCCAGCTCACTGTGCAGTGTTTTGTGGCCCATGGCTACATACTTAGTAAGAAGACAGTCAAGTGAACCAAGTAACCTTGTGGTACTAGCATTCTGTGTCTCTCTGTTGAGGCAGGAGGATTGAAAGTTCAAGCCCCGCCTAGGCAACTTAGGGAGAGTCTGTCCCAAAATAAAAATATAAAATAATGGGTTGTGGATATAGCCCTGGATTCAATTCCCAGTATGTGCTAGTGGGATAAACCAAGATGAAATTTTATATCTCTGATTCCAGAGTATTCTGCTAATTTTTTCAACAGTAGTAGTAGTTAGAAGCCTTGCTAGTGGGCCAATGCTTTTGCTTTTCTCTTGTATACCACTGGGGATGACAGCCTGCCACAGAGGCCCTGACAAGCCCTGAGCAGACCCACTCAGCCTTGGATAGGGATAGGCCCAAAATTCCAACTTTGCTGCTCACTGGAAGCTCCCTGGGAGCTTTAAAAAAATATTGATGTAGGGCTGGGGAGATGGCTCAGTAGAATAAGCATTTGCCTGACAAGTGCAGAGTCCTGAGTTCAACCCCTGGTACCACAAAAAAAAAAAAAAAAAGATGCCAAAATAAGAACCCCGAAAACTATGCCACATACCCACATCCAGATATCCTGATCAGTGGGATATGATCTGGGCAATGGGAATTTTAAAGGCTTTTCAAGCTATTGTAATTTACAGTAAAGTTTGAGAATCATTAGAAGGTCTTTCTTGAATTTTTTTTTTTTTTATCCAAATTGGCCTGAAGTAGCCACAGGAGAACAGGCTGGAAGGGCTCTTACCTGGTGGTGGACAAGCTCGTTTAGAGGGTGATCCAGTAGTCTCCTGAGCCTGGGGTGTGAGGAGATAGTGGGTACTGCCTGGAGTTCTACACTTGAATTGTCCATTGGTGGCAGCTGGAGAGAGTCTAAGCCGGCAGGAGGGCAGAGAAAAGGTTAGGAGAGATTATATGGAGAATGGTTCTCTACTGGAGAACATGAAGCCAAAGGTCTATCCACTGGAGGTGAATCAATATTGACTGATGAGTCAAAGTCCCATCCACTAATGCAGCTTGGCCTCTGGTCAACTCTCTCAGATAGGCTAGTGTTTCTACATCCCACCCACCATCTCCCTGTCTCATGACCACACAGACCCAGAGGCTTTGCCTTCTAGCTGAGGCCAGTGTCTACAAACTCTTGAAGTTCTAGATTCTGTACCTGCTTTGGGGACCAGGAATGGGTCCTTCTTCACTGCTGCTGCTGCTGCTGGAGGCCTCATCTCCACTGGGGAGCCTGGCTTGAGGGCAAAGTTGTCCAGAATTCCTCTCTCCCATTAGGCTCCCAGCTTGGGAGGCCTGAGAGTTTAGCACGATGAATTTATATTTTTTCCAATTGCAAGCCTTTGGGTCTGGGCTCGCCGGACTTGGGAAACCTTGATTGCAACTTCGAGATTCAGTAGGTGGGTCTGGGTGTCCTTCGGAGCGCCTAGGACTATCTGATGGAGGGACCATTGGTGGTGGTGTTGGTTCCGCCTCCAGGGGTCGCAAGGAGATGCCTAGAGGTTCATAGCTGGGAAGTGTGATGGACATTAGTGCAGGTTCCTCATGACTGCCTTTGGTGTGGACACGTGGGGCACCACCTCACCCATGAAGAACACAGAGCCAAGCTCCCTCACCTGGCCTGAATGAAGCGGTGGCATGCTTGGACTACATGTTCCATTTGCAAGTACGTGGCGGCCGCAAGGACAGCTGGCACAGTGGCAGGAGAGAGGCGCAGGCGCGAAGTGTACATGAAGTCCAGAAGTGGAGCAAAGCCTCTGGCTTCAGGGCCCCCAGGCAGGGACAACACATCCACCCCCACTCCTGCTCGACCCCGAAAGATTGAATAGAAAAAGCCGCTGGAGAGAAGGCACATAGGTCATTAGGAGCTGGGACATCAAGGAAGACACAGGCTACTTTAGAACACCCTACCCTCACCATGACTCCCTGCTTCCAACTTGAGACAGCTTTACTCAGGCTCCGAAAGACTTGGCTTCGGATTCCCTCACACGGGCTTTATGGTTCCGCCTCTTTCCCTTTGGGTCCCCAAGAACCCCATCCCGCGAACCTGCAGGCGATAAGAACTGCCTTGTGAGCGCGAAGGGGTTGCCCGCCAACCAGCAGCGTGACGTCAGTGAGGATCCCGCGCAGGCGCAGCTCGTTCAGATTGCCAAGCACGTCGGAGGAGTGGCGAGTGAACTCGCGGACATAGCCCAGCGCATCTTCGGGGGCAGCGGTGGAACCCATAGCGACGCAGGCCTGCGGGTGTCAAGGGACGGGCGCAGGGGTCCAAGAGTCCTGAGACACACACTCCCTTCTCTGCTTACCTTTTCGTCCGGCAAAGATCCCGGCCCCGGCACCCTCAGCCCCCCTTTGCCCCCTGCCGCGCCGCCGCTCGCCTCCCGCGACCCCGAGTGCAGAGCAGATGCAGGCTCGTCCGCACCGAGGCGTCCCGGGAGCGCGTGGGTTCCATGCGCATCACCGCTGGTTCGACTCCTACTACCTCCTTCCACTCGCCGGGCTCTAGGGGCTGACCTTGCCTAGGGCCGCCCCGGCGATCTGCTGTTCACACCCCTATAAATCCCAGTCGAAGCTCCTCTCACCAACCGCGGGATTCTGTGGTCCTGTCTAATCCTTGGCCCAAGTTTAGAGCACTTTCTGGAACTCAGCCTCCCTACCATCAACAAACCCTAACCCTTTGGGGGAACCCAAAACCTGGTCCCTCCGGTGTTCTGTTCTTACCCCCGTCCTGCAGGGGCTGCAGCTGCTCTGCTCCAGGGGGGCGGGGTCTAACTCCCCTCCGGCCTGGGCTCCTTTATCCAGCCGGGATGTCGGGGGCGGGGGTGGAGGTGGGGTGAACGCCTGGGTCCGTATCCTTCCTTCCTCCCTCGCTCTCCAGATGGCAAGCCCGGGGCGGGGTCTCCGTCGCAAAGGCGGGATCTCAGAAATACGGGGTGCTCGTTGTGGACGGGGCTTTGGGTCCCTGAAAATGGAACGGAGGATGAGGATTTTGGAATTGTAGAGGAGATTAGAGAGGTCGAGGTTGAAAACCGGGAGGCGCTGCGTAGTCGTCGGACTTGGGGCAGCGAAAATTGTTGTGTTGGCTTTGGGAAGGGGGTGCCAGCAGTCTGGCAGACGACAAAGTGATTGCAGCGAAATTCCCCCTTGTGATACACTAAGGAAGCGGGGAACCCAGGGAGGTACCAGGTTTGGAGAGGCGCTAGTGGGCTCCCGTGGGGTCTTGATAGGAAGGTGTGTAGGAATGACAGCAAGCCCCTCAAAAGAGGGGGGCTCTCGCCGGGCGGGGCAGGCAGAGTGCGGATATGATTTCTAGTTGGTTTCCTTCTATTGTCCTGCGACCGGACGGCTCCACCAGCTGCTTCCCCACGAGAAGGTGGGGAAAGCCCCGGGTGCGGGCCGAGAGACGCTCAGGAGACCTAGGCGTCCGGCCCCTTACTACCGCCTCTCTTCTGAGTCCTTTTAGGGATCCCGAGAGGCGGACTCCCGCCCAAAGCCCGTCCACTCTCCCCCAGTCCCAGATTGCTAGGGTGTTCAGCACTCGCCGGTAGGCTATGCTTTGAGGCTGGCTGGACGCCGGGGTCCAGCGCGGCAAGTAGGCAAAGCTCGGCAATGTCTGACTCCGTCCACGAGGGGGCGGACGAGCATCAGCCTCGCTTCGCCCCGTCGTCGCCCCGCTGCAGAGGTTGTGCTCAGCCCTGGGCACCGGATGAATTCGCTCTGGGTGGCAGACCCTTCTGCGTTGGTTTATCTTGCTCCTCTGTCTCTTAGCGGGATGCTAGGGTTAGGAGCTTTGCCTGAGGTTGGAATTACTACTGAGGTGGAAAATCCGTGGGCTTTGGAAATGGGGGAAATGGGTGTGACGAGTACTGGAGCTTGAGCTTGAGAGTACGGAGCTTTCTTTCCTAATTAAAATAGCTGCTATTAACTAGATATTTTAGGAGTTGAGTTTTTAGTGGTCATTAATATGAAATTTTCGTGGGGTAAATAAACAAAGAAGAGGAACGGAGGAGAGGCCTGGAAACTAATTTTAACCCTCTGGTCTGGGAGATAGGCATGGGTCATTTATTTGGGGGGGGGGGATTTGAGATTGAGGGCAAGATTCATCTGGAGAAGATGGGCCAGAGCTGGGTATAGCTGCAAAGCAGGAGATCTTTGGATTTGAGCTAAGGAGTGTATATACCTGACCAGGAATTGCCACGGACCAGGCCTGGAGTCATCCTGTTCAAAATCGGGTGTATTTTAATTTGAGTATGAAAGAGAGCCGCTGAGAACCTGGGAATTGGAGATGAGTAAGGATTCGGGGTGGGGAATTAGCTTTGGCATGTGGGGTGCCCTCTGCCCAGTTTGGAGATGAGAAGTAGATAGGGCTCCCTTTAGTATCAGGGAGGTGTTAGCTGGTCAATGGTGAGGTGCTATTTATTATGAGGTATTGGGCTGACTTGATAGTTAATAGTCAATATGGGCTGTATTTAGCCTAGAGGGAAGTTTGAGGCCTGGGAATGATGTCAAAGCGGCACTAGTTCTGGGTGTTTTGATACCCACCATTTGGAGACCATGTTACCTTGGACTAGCAGGAGAGTTAGACTACTCACGATGATTAGGGGGTACAGCCTGTTTTGTGGTGCTCTATCAATTTCAAGATTCAGATTAGATTGTTGGAGATACAGAATTCAATTTGGGTTTTTTAAAAAAATTGCACTGAGGTGGAACAAATAGAAACTCAGAATAAGTTTGAAGGCTTTCTGTGATTAGGTATTTTGGGGAGGGGTTACACTTTTGAGTCTTGTGGAAAGTTATTTTCAGGAGAGAATTTTCTTCTGTATGCCTGCATAGCCATGAAACTTTTTCCATGTTCTCCTCCAAAGGAAGGCCCCAAGGGATCTTCCGATTAAAGTTTTGGGGTGTCCTTATTTTAGGGTGTTTGTCACTCATCAGGTGTTTTTGGTGAAGCTGAAAGATTGATCACAAGGTGAGACAGATTTGACAGTTCCCTTAATTTGGAGCATTTTTCTGGCCTAGAATATTTTTTACTTATAACTCCTCACCCCAGAATATAGAAATTTCTTTCTTTAATGAACCCCCAAATAAGCCTAAGATTTGAAGGGAGAGATACGAGAAGGGAATGCTGTCCTGTCATGTCGTTATTATGTGGTCTGGATAGATCTCAGGGAAAATAATACGGTTTCAGACTCTGAACCCCGACTTCTTAAGGAAGAACACCTCAGCCTGGGGAAAGGCGGAGGCAAATGGGGTGTCTCTTAGTAAAGTGGACACCTCTGATCACAACAGTGCTGCTAGAACTGTGGCAAAGGGGGGTGGTGGTGGAGTAGAAGAAGGTAAGATTATTGAACCCTGATTTTCTAGGATAAGAGCCCCAAACAGAAAGCAGACAGAGGACTGAGAGAGTGGGTGAGCCGAGGGGGGAGGGGTTCCCAACGGCAGCAGGGGCTAGAGGGTAAGCCAGGCCAGCTCGTCCCGCCTGGGTCCTTGCTCTCTTCGGCTCTCCTCCCCTCTCTCCCTCCCACCGCCCACCCCCCCCAACCCAAGGAAAAAAAAAACTGCCTGTGCAACAGCAATGGCAGATTCCAATCCTCCAGGCTTTCCTAAACCACCACGGAGACCAGCCAGGGGGGAGGGGAGGGGAAGATCGGGCTTTCCTGCTTCCCTAAGACAGGGGCTATGAGCTTGACCTCCTGGCCCCTTGCCCTCTGAGGAGTGCCTCCCCTCCCACCCCCCTGGTCTGGAAGCCAGGTGTCCTGGACCCTAGCCCCCGAGCGGGGTGGGGGGGCCTAGAGGGACGGGGAGGAGGAAGGAGGGAGTGACTTCCAAAATTGGCATCGGGACAGAGCAGGGCTGGCGGGAGGCAGGCGAAAGACAGAATTTTCCTGAAAAAACGGGGGTATCTAAGGACCCCAAATTTGGGGAGCTAGTCCAGGACCGTCTTCCTAACATCCTAGATTTTTTTGGGATTTTTTGGGGGCCCCGGGACCCCTCTAGATGGGGTGAGGAATGTAGTGTTGGGGGAATCTGACTGGGGCATTGCAGCTGCCTCTCCCGCCGAGTTGGAGACGGATGGGCTGGACGGGTTTTGGGGGGGGTGTCCCCAATTCTGGCTGGGAGTGGAGGAACCCCCTCCAGAGCTCTCTTGTGGGGGTGCCCCCTCCCCAGGGCACTCCCCAGTCCTTGAGCCAGCCGAGAGGAAGGAGGCCAGCGATGCGACTGGGGCGGCTCCTTTCTCCTGCACCCCAAATCTGAGGGATGCACCCCAAAATTTGCTCCTTTCAAAATAGGGGACCAGGATCTCAGGGGAAAGTAGCTGAGGTAAGTGGGGAGGGAAGTGTCCCCTGTTTTCAGGAGAGACGTGGCGGTTGGGGGGGAGGTTTGGAGGTGCGTGCTGGGGTGGGGTTGGGCTTTGTCAGTCTTGGAATTGGGGGGTGACTGAAGAGGATTCCTCCTATACCTCCAAAGTGCAGTCCCCTAGATGGAAACCAAAACCTAAGGCCAGAGAGCCCTCCACATCTCCAGCCGTTAGGACAGTGTTTGATTTCTCTTACCCCCACAAAGGCTCTGCCGGGGGTGAGAGCTTGGGGCAGCTGTTTTTTGGGGGGGTTCTGGAGGGTGCAAAGAGAAGCAGAAGGCCTTATTAGGGCTAGATGTAGAAAAGATGGGGGTCCCGGGAGGGAGCCTGGCATCTTTGGGGGCCTAAAAAGACTGCTTACATACACCATCTTAGATCTTTCTGACTGCTGAGAGTTTTGGGGGGTGTGTCGGGACAGGGGTGGTAAAAGGTGAGATGGGATATAGAAGGATAATATTTGGGTTTTATAGGGTATTATTTTGAGTTGCAGAGGGGATTTTACTTTCTGGGAGGTGCTTTTAAAAATTCAAGTCCTGGACAGGAGGAAAAGGCTAAGGGCAGGCCTAGGGATGGGGGTGGGGAGAGGCATCATGTTTGTCTCAGCTTAAACGTGGCTCTCTGGGTTGGGCCCCAATTGCCTGGGCCTGGTGGATAGGCTAATGGGTGTTGTTGCAGGGACAGAACATGGGTCTTGGGGGTCCATGGGAAATGGGAACAGCACTGGAGGTTGAACACCTGGCCTCCAGGTCCAGATGGTCCTCTTCTAGGCCCTGCTGCTCACCTCTCCCCCTCGCCTCCATTTCCTGCCTTTGGCCTCCATCTTGTGACAGGCCCAGGGCCCAGGGCAACTTCCGGCCCCCCTCTCTCAACCGGGTTCCGGCCCTATCACCTCTGGATTGCCAACTCCTAACCCTGCTGTCCTTGGTCCTCTGTGCCTCTTAGCATTTCTCTTGGGTTCTGACCCAGAGAGGAGAGAAACGGACACAGGAAGCCTTAGGTCCCTGCCCTTGCTGAGTCAGGAGGCAGTTTGGTGTCATTCCCTGTTTCCTCTACTTCTGACCCCAAACTAGGGATCTCAGAGCTGAGTTTCTAAAGGAAGGTGGTTGCAATCCTATTACACTGTGAGCGCATCCCTTTCCTTCCAGTTGTCTGCTCAATTCCTGTCCCTAGTTGGTGGTTTTCCCAACCTTTTTTAGGGCCACATTTGCCTTCTCTATCTCCCTGTTGTTGGTGGCAGGGGTCTTTACAGCACTGTTTTGTGCTCTCAGCCCACCCCAGTCCTGCTCCCGCCCCAGCAGCACACTGTGGTTTGTACGGCACTGTGGCCACGTCCAAACCACACTGTGGTGTTAGAGCGAGGGTGGGGGAGGCACCGCTGAGGCCTGGCCCTGAGAGGCCACCCTGGAGAAGCAACACAAAACACATCTGGGACCTTGGGATAAACTTCTTTGACGAGGGGAAGAAGACGGTCTGAACACCCTGGAAACTGTCCCTTTAAAATTCCCAGGGCAGGCTCAGAAATACTGCCTGCCAGTGACCCTGGGAGTAAATTCTGGCTCCTGACAGCAAAGTGGAGTCTTTGTTGCCCACACCCAGCTCCCCTGGCTCTAGCAGCACAGAAATATTGGCACTGGGAAGTGAGTCTGCCAATATTGGTTGTGCTGCTCCAGGCAGGGTGGTGAGAGCCACCCAGGAGGGGCTAAGCCACTATGGGCAAAGAAGAGGGGAGAGAGGGGCCTCTAATCATACCATGCTGAGAGAGAACTCTTTATTGTTTTATGTATAAAATTGTCCATTAGATGAAGGTCTGGGTGTAGGAGCAGATAGTTATCAGGAACAGCCAGGTGGTGGCCCCATCAGCCTTCTGACCGGCTCTCACGCAGGCTTTGCTCCATTGCCAGGCAATCCACAGGTCCACAGTGAACAGTGAGAGGGTCAGGGGCAGAAGACTCAGCAGGAGCGCAGAGGAACATCAGTGGAGGTTGTGAGAAGGCCAGAATCCAGGGTCAGGCTGTCTAGAACAGGAAGAAAAAAGTACCAGATAGAGCTCTAAGTGGGATTATAAGGCAACTCCCACCTCCCCAAATGCTCTGGTATTTAACTGACCCAATTTCCTGTACTGTGAGAGCGCCTTCCTTTCCCAGCTCTCTGCATGGGGGCAGAGCTGCTGCTGAGACCCTCCCCTGTGTCAGGTGAGCACTTCCAACCCAGGCCCAGCTGGTGTGGTAGGAGGAGGACTCCTACCCTGGTCGAAGTTGAGTTTCTTGGTTGGAGGAGTTTCTCCTAGCCCTTCAATATCCACCAGGTCACTGTTGGTGTCGGAGTCATTCAGAGCACTAAGTGTCACATCTGGGAGGGAGTACAGGTTATGTTCTAGGTTCTCCTAACTGTGCCCCTCCCAGCTGTCCAAAGCTTTGGGCTCTACTTCCTTGCATCTGGGAACCACAGGGAGAGAACAGAGATTTGTCTCTCTCTCTTTTTTTTTTTTTGACCCAGGCCCAGTTTTCTCACAGAACCTCAGATAGGACTTTTAACTGATACCCTAGGTACAACTCCATGACCCTCACCAGCCTTCTGTTTCTTTATGGGGGGACCCCCTGCCTCAGAGACACTGGAGTTGCTGGGTGGAGGGGCAGCTGGAGGAGGCGACAGAACACCAGATGCCAACTTCTTGGGTCCTTTCTTGGGTGACTCAGCTGGAAGGGGGATGCCAGAGTCTTCATAAACCTTTCGTTTCACAGTGGCCTTTATCTGAGCCCTGAAGAAAAGAGACAACAGATTAGGAAATAAATTATCAGGGAAGCTGAGGGAAGAAGGGAAGGATGGGAATTTTGGAAGCCCCTTCATAAGAATCCCAGTCAGGGCCCTATCCTGTTGGTAGGGTTCTCAGTACTCAGGGCAGATAGAATGTGAAGTGGAGTCCCTGAACTGGGTAACTGGAAAGGCCCATCTCCAATCCTCTTCTGGGAGAGAGGTATAGATGTGCAAGTCCACCAGGTAAGGCTAGGTGATGTATAGGTAAATTGACATTGTGTGTGTGCGTGTGGGTGTTGCTGGGGATCAAACCAAGGGCTTTGTGCATGCAATGTAAGAACTCTACACTAAGCCACATCCCCAGGCCCAGATTGTGGTTTTACATGAGTCCTGATCAACTAGTTTAGAAAAACAGTATCCCTGAACAACACTAGTGCTATATAAATAACCAGGGAACTCCCATAATCAAGTATCTCAGGGCACCATTCTTAGAAGATCCTGATTAGCAGTTTAGGAAACAACAGACCAACAGTGACAGTTCTTATATTCATCTAATCCTCATGGGATTAAAATTAGCAAAAAGTACAAAAGGTGCTGAGCTGAGGAAGATGGAATAATGGTTAAGGAGGAAGAAAGCTGCCCACCCCCCTCTCTGCCACCCTCCCTCACACTGTCCGTTCCTTGATGACACAGCTGATGTGATTAAGATCGTCCCCAAATCGCTTCACAGCAGCCCTCAGCATCTCTATCTCCGTCTCCGTCCACTTCGCACTGTCGGAAGGGAGAGGGGGGATAGCAAAATAAAAAACAGGAGGAGGGTGTGGAGCTAGCCTACTGGCTATGCACTCCACAGCCAACCAGCCTCCTCCCCTCAATCTCCGGGCCCTCTTCCAGGAACCCATAAAGAGGGTACTCCTTTTTAAAAAAGCTCTAGGGATCCTTAACCACGAGAAATTACATCTATCACCCCCTACAGCACCCCTCTCCATCAATGTGCTACAGCTCAGTCAACAGCCCACTAAGACCAGTTCACCAAGTAGAGGCCTTACAAACAGAATCCCTGAACACGGTCTGCAGTAGTCTGAGAGGATAATTTGGGGTGTTTGTGGTGGTGGCCAGTCGGCTCGCGGTAGGGTGCAACTACGAAATCTAAGTCCGGGTTGTTGAATTGTTTGTATCTTCACCTGTCGTTCACTTACTCATTTTAATACTTATTAACACCTCCTCTGCGCTGTGCTATGTACAGAGTGAAACTAACATCTGCCCCTGCCCTCGAGATGGTTCAGGTCTGTGACAGGTCCAAGCGTTCGTTCTTGCCATCCACGTTCCAGCTCGGACTCACGTACCCCGCTGGAGAAGAGTCAGACACGGGATGCAGCTGCATCGTCAGCTCCCCGAGCTTCGTAAAGGCGGCGCCGGCCGCGGAGAAGATCTCTCCGACCTGGGGGCGGGGCAGCATTACGGGGGGCCGGCGCCCAGCGAGTCCGCCATCCCGCCGGGAGCCCCTAGCCCCACCCCAGGCTCGGCCCCCCCCCCCCCCCCCGTCCGGCGCGGAAGAGCCAGGAGCCAAGCTGGGAACCCGCCCGCCCGTGACCGCCAGGGAGCGCTGTCCGCGAGGGAGGTCGAACCTTTGTGGACGCTGACGTCATGTCCCCGCGCACCTCCTCACCGAGGCGCTCCGCCGCCGCCACCACGCGAGCCGAGACCACGGAGAGCCCGACGGTGGAGCCCCTCCGGCTCCCGCGCAGGAAGTCCCGCCCCTCCGACAGCTGATTGGCTCAAGCCTGGCTACTTCCCGCCCCATCTTCCGCAGCTTAGGCGCTGTGGGGAACTAGAGGTGGAAGACACAGCCTCACTTCCGGTCGGTTTCATTCCATTTGCGAGGAGAGGTCGGGGCTCCCAGTTCACATACCACTTCCAGCCTTGGCCCACGCCCGCCCCGTCACTAAAACACAGACACAAGATTTACGGTAACAGCGTCTCTTTATTGTGACAAGGAGTAGGCGTGGGGGCTGGAGAGACAGTGAGTTGCCAGCCCCAGCGCCCTCCACTGGGGCCAGACGCCTACAGTCGGAGAACCCGGGATTCAGTCTCTCGCCAGGAGAACCCAGTCCCGCAGAGGGTGCCACACTGGGTGGGATGGGACCCGAGTGAGGGGGAATGTTTAAATAGGCAAGGGGGCTGAGGAGGATAAACAGGACTGTGCTCTAGCGCACCATGTATTCTTTGCGCTTGTTGAGTCGAACTTGGCAGAAAGAGAAGCCTCCGAGGAGGAGATAAAGGCCCGCTGCGATGAAACAGTTGTAGCTGACTTGCTCATAGAGTTTGTATAGATTCTCAGGACCATTCCTAGGGGTGGGAATTAGAGAATTCTTAGATATTAAGAGAATCCAACAGTTTCAGGACATATATCATGTGCCAGGCCCTATTCTAAGTGTTATTTCCTTTTCCCCTCAACTTGATATATATTAAATCCAGCCCCTTCACTTAGCCACATCCCAGTGTTTTCTACTTTGAGACAAGGTCTTGCTAAACTGCTAACTATCCAGGCTTGGGTTTGAACCTGTGATCCCCCTCCCTCAACCTCTCAGAGTGCTGGCATTATATGGGCTTACACTATCATGACTATCTACAGGTATTAGCAATATTCAGTCTTCCCCACAGCTCTATGAGATGAGTTCTATTGTAATTCCCCTTAGGTAGAGGTAGACCAAGTCTCAAGAGAGGTAAAATACCTAGAGGCCAAAAGTACATTGGTGTATGTAAGATGCCTGCTAATGCCTGATTTCCAAGACTGCTCCTAAATATATTCTTTCTTCATGTGCTGAAGTTTGAACCTACGCAGAGCCTTTAAAGTTAAACACATCCTACCACTGGGCTACCACCCAAAGCCCTATCTGGTTCTATAGAGAACAGCCCGCTTCTCCCTTTTCCCTAACTTCAGAGCCCCAAACATCCAGCCACTGGCAATTTCCCACCCATAATTCTGACCATGGGCCCAGCTACCTCACACCAGCACCCAGACGCTGTTTTTCTACCTGACCACTTACGTGAAATCTTTCTCCGTGAAGGGAACATCCTCAATCAACACTGCTGAGTGCACATTGAAAAATATTCCGAGCATTATCTGAAAAGCAACATGTAGGTATGGACACAAACACTTAACTTCCCTAAACCCCTTCTCTTTCTAATGTTGCCCCAACACCTGAGCCTGGGATTAACAAGAACGAGCTAGGAGTATTAGGAGTACGGGTGGTTGTAACTGGATTCAGACTGGGCTCTGCCACCTGGGCTAGGGCTTGAAGTGGGGACATTGAGACAACTGCTGGTACAAGAGTGGGAATAATGAGCAAGTCGCCAATTTTAGGAAGCCAATCTATCCTCTTCCCCAGAGGCATCATTATCACGAGACAGGTCGCTTAAGAGGCTAGAGAAAGAGAACCATCCTTTCATATTATTTCTAGAAGTGACAGAGTGTAGTCTGGGCAAAGAAGGCCACAGTAACTCAGTGCGGAAACAAACATTCCTGTACCCCCTAGCCTCCAACTCGGGCATCTCTCAAGATCACACCTCTGAGTTTTAACTTGGAAAGTCTACAGAACTGCTAGCTCCGGTTCCCTTTCCACGCTCAAGCCTCGCTCGCCATCCTTCTGCTCCAATTCCCCACTTTTCAACCTTATTATCCCCTTGCTCTCCAGCGTCCAGCTGACTGCCAGACTCTCCATCCTGCCTGCTGCATGGGGTTTCTAGGCCTTCCAGCCCTCCAACCCCGGAGCCCCTCAGGTCCTCTCCGACTTTCGGTGAGCAGTCCTCTCACCAACATGATCACTCCCCAGGCGCTGAGGACGATGCCGCAGGCCGCCACCTTGGGGCCACAACACAGGAGCGACGCCATGGTGACGGGGGTCGGAGAATCAGCCGAGTAGGAGCCGAACAGAAAGGCGGTAACAGGCAGCCTTGGCTACGCCAGGGTCAGCGGGTCGGATTTGGGGGGGAAGTGCGCCGAAAGGGCGTGGCCTGCGGACTCAGCCATCCGGCCCGGGGGCGGCAGCGGAGAAGGTGCGAGCCTCGCTGTTCTCCACAGGCTTCCGCGAGGACATATTTGTCTGAAACTAGAGCCGCCCCTCGAGAAGTCCTTCTTGACCTACTAGTATGTATCTGGAGCGTGAATACTGCAAGTGCGAGGATGCGGTTCCTTGGTCTCTCCCCTGCCACATTGGAATGGAAGGAACCGAACGTCACGTGACCTGGCCGTCACGTAACGTGACTAGGAGCTGACAGGAACCAGGCCTCCAGAAATGTTAAACCCTGCCAGGGATCCTGCTAATGTGGGTAAAAAGGGTTATTAGGATAAGAGAATCATGATTTTTAAAAAAATTTAGTCACCTTAATCTCGGAGGGCCCTTGTGATGGGGAACTGTTGAGACATGAAGTCTTGCTTTGAGAGCGCGCCCATCTAGCTTCTCTACTCATCCCTAGCTTTTAAAATTCTGACAACGTGAGAGAAGCAGCGAACCCCCTCCGGTGGCCACGCATACTGTTGTGGCTAGAATGCCTTAAAGTTGTGGAGGGATTTTTGGCACTTTATATACTTTTGTTAAGGAACATCACTTGGAGTACTATAATTTTTATCATTGTACTTGTAATAAAATGTATTAGTTCTGTATGCTGAAGCCAGAAAAATGTGAGATTAAGAAAATCCCAGGGAAAGCGGACTAAATGAGCAAGTTTTGTTTTTGTGGGTTTTGTTGTTGTTTTGTGGATTGAACTCAGGACCCTGCACTTGCCAGGCAAGTGCTTATTCTGCTGAGCTATCTCCCTGGCTCTAAATGAGTAAGTTTAAAAAAAAAAAAAATGCGCAAGTTAGGAAGGTGAGTGGTCCTGCTATCCGAATTGGAAAAAGGAATAAGTACAACCTGTTAATTGAATGAAGTGATTATAGATCCTTTGAACAAGATAAAAAAATATGAATAGATCACCCCCCCAAAAAAAAGGTTGTGCACTGCACTAGTGAGAGACATATTTATAATATTCAGGGAAAGGGGGCATGTTTATTTATGTGTGTGTGTGTGTGTGTGTGTGTGGCCAGCTCAGCCCACCAGGGGGCGGGGCTGGCTGGCATGTGGTGCTGGGGGATTGAACCGTGGTCCCTGTGTTTTGCTTGGCTTAGCTTGTTCTAAGTAGGTGCTTTAGACCACTGAGCCATCTCACCAGCCCCAAGGGGGCATGTTTGAAGGGTTTTTTTTTTTTCTTTTTTTGGTTTGTACTGGGGTCTGAAACCACAGGTGAAGAATATGGGTGAACTGAATTTGTACCCATGCTGAGGGGACAGAAACCACAGCATAATTGAGAGAGATCGTTTTGATTCTGAGACCTCAGAACCACACACACTGTCACAGGCTAGAATAACTTTGTAGTGTTTTTCCCTTTGTTTTGGGCATATTATTCTTGAAAAGTTGTGAAAGAAAACATGAAACCTAGGTAACATATGGGAATTACTGCGTATTCAATAGGCTGAGAAAGTGGACTTCAAACATGAGTTTCATGTTTCTTTTGTTTGGAGCTGTCTTGGGAAAGGAACCATTTGGGACAAACATTTTTTGTTGTGGGCTAGGAACAATGTTCTTACTCAGTGACACCTAGTACTGTGCTTGAATAGAAGCAATAAGAGTGGAGGAAAAAATCACTAAGGAAGAGAGACAGAAATTTGTTAGTTGGCCTCCAAGCATAAAGTCTAGTTCCTGGGAAAGAAGAGTTAGGTTAGCTGAGGTGGCTGATATATAATATCACCATGTTTTGCAAGTAAGGCCAGCCCTTTAGCTAATGTAGGAGATAATAACAAAATCCAATTTTAGGATATGTGCTGCTGACATGAGCATAATAACAAAATCCAGTCAGTGACCTGTGAATATTGCTCAGAGCATTCTTTTTTTAGATAGTTGAATAAGCCAAGTTTTCTGACATGCAAAGTTCATATCTGTGTTTATAAATAAAGTTTTATTGGAACAGTCACACTTACAAATTGTGGCTACTACAGTGGGAAAGCATTTGTGGCAAAGACTGCGTGGCACACAAAGCCTAAAATATCTGGCTCTTTACAGAAAATATATACTGTCCTCTGCGCCAGTGAACAGTGGAAAATATGCATTGTCCTCTATTTACGTAGAGAGTTTAGTTGAGAGAGGAATTACAGTCTTAGTAGCAAAGACAGGAAAGCATAAAATTCAAGATGGAAGTTTCAGTCCTAAAGCTGACCTAAAATCATCCAGCCATGGCATTTAGGGTTTAGATAGTGACACTGTTCTCTATGTGACTGGGTTTTAGGTATTCATAGGGCAGGTCAAGTTGCTCGTTCCGGGCAGTGATCTCATTTTCCAGGTTTTTCAGATCTGTTTGAAATTGCCTTAGCACAGATTTGGCCTTGGGACCTGAGAAATACTTTTCTTTGTGATGCCCCAGAGGCACCTAAAACAGAATAAAACATCAGTCAGTTTATAGTCTGAAGAGGAAAGCACCTAGAGCCCAGCCTCTCATTCTGATGTTCCCTTTTCAACTATTGTTTCCTTCTCCATAGGGTCCCTTCTTACCATATCTGGCTGACGGCGACCCAGATGCCATGTGATGGTCATTTGAAGACAGGACTGCTGGATATCAGGTAGTGACCCCATCACTGTGGCCATTGTCACATCTTCCTTGGTGGTAGGTGGGGGCATCCGCATTGTGCATGGGGCATTAGGGACCCAGGCATACCAGTCCAGCTAAGGGAAGAAACTGCATCCCTAGGACTCTAGTACTTAGGGTTTGGATCCCCATCACTCCCTTGGGTTTCCTAAGGTTTAGGCACTTGCTTTCAGGGACCTGGGGTTTCAGGTCTTCATACCTGGCCCTGGTTGATGGCCCCATGCTGGGCAGTGCATGTGAAGATACACATGGTAAGGAAATGGCAGAGTTCATCCTGGGACTGGAAGGAGACAGGGAAACCTGGACCGGAAAGGAACATGTTTTAGGGGCTATAGCAGAAGAGGAAAAATATAAAGTCTTGATAGGTCCATATTTTAGAACTGATGAGTATTAATTTATTTAGATATATTTGTATCAGACATGGGTAAAAATCACTTACAGCTTGATTATCTTGGGCCAATTACTTAACCTTTATGAATTTCAACATTTTTCACCTGTAAAATCATACAGGAAATACCAAATGCTCAACAACTAATAATTATTATTATGGACGTATTAAGAGTGAGCAAATGTGCCCACCTCAAAAAGTGGTTAAGAATTTAGATGCCAGGTGTGGTGACACATGCCTGTAGTCCCAGCACTTGGGGGGGGGGTGCGGTTGAGGCAGGAGGATTGCTGTGAGTTCAAGGCCACCTTGGACTACATAATGAGTTCCTGTCTAAAGAAAAAAAAAAAACAAAACACTCAGGAGGTAGAGGCAGGAGAATCGTTGCAAGTTGAAGACCAGCATGGGCTACAAAGTGAGCTCAAAGGCAGCTTGAACTGCATAGAAAGACCCTGTTTCAAAAAGACAAAAGAAAGAAAGAATGAATTTAGGAATATTCCCTTCTATTCCCAAACAAAGGAATTACAAATCTCTGAGCTATAAAATGAAGAACAAGAAAAGTATAGATTTCCAGTGTCACAAGTAAGAGGGACTCCCTACAACTGTTACCTCAAGCTATTCATCTTATCATGGCTGTAGGGGCTCAGAAACCCAATAATGCAATCAGCTAAGTGAGGCGTATATAATTTAAAAATATTTTGTATATAATCTTTATAAGAAAATCAAGCCATATATAGTGGCACATATCTATAATTCCAGCACTTTGGGAGGCTGGATGATAAATTTGAGTCCCATCTAGACAATTTAGTGAGACCCTATCTCAGAAAATAAAAAGGGCTGGGTGGTTGTATAACTCAGCATAAAAGCTTTAGGTTCAGTCTCCTGTACTGCAAATAGTAATAATAATAATGAAATTTAAAAATCAAGGCTGGGGAGATAGCACAGCAGTCTAAGTGCCTGCCTAGCAAATGCAAGGACTGGGGTTCGATCCCTGGTACCACATGCTATGCTGGTGTGCACGCCATGCTGGCCACCAAAACTCAGTGTGGTGGTGCACACCTGTAATCCCAGCATGATAAGGGAGGCTGAGACAGGAGGATCACTCTGAGTCCAAGCTATATAGCCTGACCCTGTACCAAATAAATAAGTAAATGATTAAAAAAATCAAAGACCAGGGAAATTAAGCTGCCAGTAGGATTGCAGTTGGGGAAAAGCAAAAGCAACTTTGAACTTGTGTTCTTAACTGATAATTCCTTCCTCTTTTTAATCTTAGTGAATTTCCTTTAAAAAATCTGTTGAGAAAATTAGGCAAAGGTGAGCTGTGAGAACTGAGGGAGGATAAGAAGGGGCAGAATGAGAGGCCATCAGTGGAGGTTAAAGCTAATACATGCATTAGGGATTGGATGTTGGTGTCTCGCTCAGAACTCAGGTTGAAATCTAATGCCCAGTGTGTGGGAGTTCAAAAGTGAGTCTTTGAGAGGTAATTTAGTCATGAGGGTGGGAGAGTCTTCATGGATGGTATCAGTGCCCTTATGAAAAGAGGCCCACGAGCTATCTTGATGTTTTTCCACCCTGTGAAGATACAGTAATTTGGTTTTCTGCATCCACTAAGAGGACCCTCACCAGACCTGAACATACTGGCACATTGGTCTTGGACTTCAGCTTCCAGCCCTGTGAGAAATAAATTTCTTTTGTATAAACCACCCAGTCTATTGTACTTTGTTATAGAAGCCCAAACTGACAGACTATATGAATATTTATTTTTAATTTCTGGATGTAGATGTTGTTTAAGGAGAATATGGACACAGAGAGGAAGAGGGACCTTTTGGGACATGTCATGCCTAAGGGGCA